TTAGATAACACATTGACCATCCTGTGCCTTCATCCCCCTGAACAATACTGATCTTGTCAAGAGACTACTTACTTCACTCCTTTCAAAGGATGACATAGAAACCGAGAGTGAACACCCCATGTTATGACAAATGCATCAGAACATGGTATAAGAACAGAAAGCATCAGTGAAAGGAGTGGTGAAGTTTTAGTGACTTGACCAAAGTGCAGCCAGGAGAAGTGGCATGACCTACAAGTGTCAGTCAAGCTCAGCTGGGATCACCTGGGGCCCTTTGCTGTACTTGAAGCCAACTCTTGGGGAGAGGACACTGGGGTGGAGCTGGTCCCTGAAGTAGTGTTGACCAGGGCTTTGCAACAAAGTTATGGAAAATTTCATGTCAGTGTTAAGCAGGCCTTCCACCAGCTGAAGAGTATTCTAAAAAATGTCCCTGTCCTAGCTTATGCTCATGCCAGCCGTGACAGGCTAGGTGGGGTGTTGTATCAAAAGCATGATGGACACCTACATCCTGTAGCCTGTGTAAGCAGAATTCTCACCACTGTTGAGAACTATCCCACTTACAAGCTAGAGTTCCTTGCCTTGAAGTGGGCTGTAGACAATAAGTTGAAAGACTACCTGTATAGAGCAAGAAAAAGAGAGGAAGGCACCTCTAAGTGCAGTATTGACAATTTATTTAGTATACAATGGATAAGTTACACTTACAAGATAAATAGTTAAAAAGACTCATCGTGTGGTAATTAGATCCAGATGGGACATCCAGCCGTCCAGCAGCAAACTCTGTCTATAGGATCAGGAAGTAGAGTCCAGGATGTGCCTGTGCATCAAAATGAAGCTAGGAGAGCAGAGTCGGATGTAGGAGGTGAAGGGGGGCGGTAATGCATTTCAGAGCATGCTCAATAGGCTCCTTCTTCAAACCTCTGAATTCACCTGGATCTATTTACCACACAATGAGTCTTTTTAACTATTTATCTTGTAAGTGCAATTTATCCATTGTTTACTAAATAAATTGTCAATACTGCACTTAGAGGCGCCTTCCTCTCTTTTGCTTGTTACTGCATTAGAGCCTTGCTTCCACTCTAAGAAGAGCTGCCTCAGTGTTACTGCTCCCATCCATCCATCCTTGATATCCATCTGGCACCTTTATCCTACAGCTACAGAGGTAGGGCTGCAACAAGCGCGCCCTATATAATATACATTTTATACCTGTATAGAGTAGACTTTGTAGTCAAGACTGATAATACCTGCTCATGTATATCCTCACCACAGCAACCGTGGATGAAATGGGGCATAGGCGGCTGGTTGCTCTGTCTGGGTTCTGTTTCAGCCTGAAGTATAACCCAGGGGTTGGAAACAGAAATACTGATGCCCTGTCAAGAAGGCCTTAGGACAATGTGGGCTGAAGTTGAGAGCTATAGCCACTGCTGCCTACACTTGCATACAAAGAAAACTCTGCCTTCCACAGCTGCCCCATTGGGCCACCTTCAAAATGAAGGGCCTATTGAGTTGCTGTGCATTGACTTTTTATGCCTAGAACCTGACAGGAAAATTACCTGTTTTACCCGTTATGCCCAGGCATTCCTGACAAAAGGCCAATGACCATCCACAATAGTCAAAGCCTTGGGGGAGAGGTTCTTTGTTCATTATGGACTGCCTCAAAAATTCAATCTAATTAAGGAAGAGGGCTTGAAAGCAAACCCACTAAGAAACTCATAGATTTGTTGGGCATTCAGAAGTCCAGAACAACCCCATACCATCCACAAGGGGATTCACAGCCAGACAGGTTCAACCGCACCTTTATAGAGATGCTTGGGATTCTCACTGCTGAGAAGAAGCAACATTTGAGCAGGCATATCATGGACATCCCTAGGGTTGGTGTCACCCGGTGCAGTAACACTTGGTGTCACCCCTCCGACGATCCCTGCAGGATGGATCGGATCTGCGGATTGAGCATAATGGATTGGAGTCCAATTCATTATGCTCCCCAATCCGCAGATCCGATCCATCCTGCAGGGATCGTTGGCTTGCAACCTATACGGGGTTAACGGATCTCTCCACGAAAAGGTAAGTTTTAAAGCAAGCCGACGATACCCGCAGGATGGATCACATCTGCAGATCAGGGAGCATAATGGATCGGACTCCGATCCATTATGCTCAATCTGCAGATCCGATCCATCCTGCGGGGATCATTGGCCTGCTTTAAAACTTTCCTTTTCGTTGAGTGTGTTCGGTGTCACCCCGTGCAATAGGTGTCACCGGTGAGGCGCGCACCCCTCCGCACCTGCCTAGGGACGCCACTGGGCATATTTCAGCAGTAGTACATGCCTACAACTGCACAGAAAATGATGCCACAGGGTACTCCCCCTATACTATCATTTTCAGGAGAGAGGCTTAATTACCAGTTGATCTAGCTTTCAGCACATCCTCAGATCAAACCTCTGTGACTTTCCAAAGTGGATCACGTGAGAAAGAATCTGAAGATGGCATACAAGAAGGTTCCAGCTGCCTCAGAGGTTTGAGGGCAGAGAAACAACAGTAACTTTAATCTGATATTCAGGGTCCAGGATTTACAACCAGGTGATCAAGCATATCAAGTTAGCTGACCACTGGTAATCCCAGTACTATATCATCTGAAAGCAGTGGTCCACATTACAAGTATATCAGATCTGCCCTGAAGGAAGAATAAGTCCCTTGAAAGTGTGAAATCTGTAAATGAGAGAACTACAAGTCCAGTCTTCCACCTCAGTAGATGGCTTGTATTGTAGTTCTCAATGAACTGCGAGGGCATGGTGAGCACCATTGTAGTTCATTCACAAGCCCTGCAGCTTTCAAACTGATGGCCTGAAAGCTGTTGTGTGTAAAAATTTGACATTGCATCTTTGATCCACTGATCGCAGCTGCAATGCTTTGCAGACTCCTGCAGGAAAAATAATAAATAGCCATTTTTTGTCTGCAAAAATATGTGCATTATTATTAAAAAAAAAAAAAAAAAAAAGCCTTTAAAAGCCACGGTTTGTTTATTTAAAGTGGTAGTAAAGTTAGTGTTGTTAAAAGTTGCTGACAGGCAGGGTATGTATGACAGAAGAGACCCTATCAGTCCCTTCTGTCATAAATGCAACCTCCTGTCTGTCAGCCATGATATACACTGAGCCTCGCATGCGCAGCTCAGCGAACATTTATGGCCCCTGATCTGTACGATGTGACTCCCATGTGCATGTGTAGGAATGACGTCATCGCGGCCCAGCCATTCAGCCGAAGACACAGAACCAGGAAGGCAGACCGGGCAAAGATAGAAGTGCCCGGGACCGGCCAGATCACTCCCAGGTAAGTGTGCTTTAATATGCTAGTATGCTGTGCATACTACTACATTATAACATAACCCACCTGGGGGATCCCAATATGAAGAAACTATAGTGAACTTTAATAGTTTCTGCTTCTCCTATTTCTGCAGTGCACATTTCTCACCACTAGATGTCACTCTTGATAAACAGGACCTTTGTAAAGTAATACAACTGTCCCTTAAAGTGGCTCCAAAGCCTTAAAATGGAACTTTGGTCAGATGAGGTCCTCCTGGATTACTTCAAGCTGGCCCCTTTTGCATTTATAGCTTTAGAAAATATTAAAAATAAGTGCTTATACTTTTTAACCACTTGCCTACCTGGCACTTTTACCCCCTTCCTGCCCAGACCAATTTTCAGCTTTCAGCGCTCTCATACTCTGAATGACAATTGTGCGGTCATGCAACACAGTACCCATATGAAAATTTTCATAATTTTTTTTTGTGACATATAGAGCTTTCTTTTGGTGGTATTTAATCACATCGAGGTTTTTTTATTTTTTGCTAAACAAACCAAAAACAACTGAAAAATTGGAAATAAAGGTTTTTTTTGCTTAGTTTCTGTTATAAAATTTTGTAAATGAGTAATTTTTCTCCTTCACTGATGTGCTCCAATGAGGCTGCAGTGATGGGCACTGATAAGCGGCACTGGTAGGTGGCACTGATAGGCATCACTGGTGGGCATTGACAGACATCACTGATGGGACACTGAAAAGCAGTACTCATATATGGCACTGATAGGCAGCACTGGCTCGCACTGATAGGCGACACTGACTGGCACTGTTAGGTGACATTGACTGAAACTGTCAGGAGGCACTGACGGGCACTGATAGGTGGTACTGATGGGCACTCATAGGCGGCACTGACTGGCACTGATAGGTGGCAGTGAAAGGCAGCTCAGATGGGCACTGATATGTGGCATTGATGTGCACTGGCAGGCATGATATGTGGTATTGGTGTGGCACTGATGGGCACTGACAGGTGGCATTGATGGGCACTAACAGGTGGCACTGATGGGGCTACACTGATCATCAGGGCACTGATCAGCAGTGCCCTGATGATCAGTGTAGATGTCCCCTCTGAGTTTTGCCGATTACCGGCTCTCCTCTCCTCATGAGCTGTCAGCGTGACATCTCGTGAGGAGAGAAATGCAGATAACTGGTATTTCCTTATTTACATGCGATCAGCTGTGATTGGACACAGCTGATCACATGACAGAGCCGAAGTCATCGGCTCTTTCTGCAGATCGCTGATCTGCTGTGTCCCAGGGCCCCTGGGGGCACGCACATGTGATTAGAGTGGGAGGACATCATATGACGTCCTCCCAGAATGAGAGAACCACCGCCCGTCCATCATTTCCTTATAAAGTGACACTAAAGGCAAATCTTATTTTTTAGTTTTGGACTGAGTGGAGGTATTAGAACACCTCTCAATTTTTATTGCAGTCTGTGCCACCTTCTCTACTTGTCATGTTTACCATTATCATCGAAAGTGAACATAAAAGAATAATCCCAAATTTTGGGTCAGCATCAGAACACCTGTTGCAACCAAGAGGCACAGGTGCAACATCCTGCAGCTTGTCATATCCTATGGAAGGCTAAAATATGCTGTGACTGGACAGGGCTTAAAGTGTCACTAAACCCCGGACCCTGCATCCACTATATCTGGTCTCCCCAGACCTTGCATTCACTATATCCGGTCTCCCAGGACCCTGCATCCACTATATCTGGTCTCCCCAGACCCTGCATCCACTATATCTGGTCTCCCCGGACCCTGCATCCACTATATCTGGTCTCCCGGACCCTGCATCCACTATATCTGGTCTCCCCGGACCCTGCATCCACTATATCCGGTCTCCCCGGACCCTGCATCACTATATCCTGGTCTCCCTGGCCCCTGCATCCACTATATCTGGTCTCCCCGGACCCTGCATTCACTATATCTGGTCTCCCTGGCCCCTGCATTCACTATATCTGGTCTCCCCAGACCCTACATTCACTATATCTGGTCTCCCCAGACCCTACATTCACTATATCTGGTCTCCCCAGACCCTACATCCACTATATCTGGTCTCCCCGGACCCTGCATCCACTATATCTGGTCTCCCCAGACCCTACATTCACTATATCTGGTCTCCCCAGACCCTACATTCACTATATCTGGTCTCCCTGGACCCTGCATCCACTATATCTGGTCTCCCCGGACCCTGCATCCACTATATCTGGTCTCCCCGGACCCTGCATTCACTATATCGGTCTCCCCGGACCCTGCATCCACTATATCTGGTCTCCCCGGACCCTGCATTCACTATATCCAGTCTCCAACAGTACACACAACATGGAAATGCAATTATTTTAGTAAATATAAACTGCTAAACACCTTTTCTCATCAGCAGTTAGAGCAGTTTTGTGACTTCAGAAGAGCGCTGGTTACAGCTTGTAGGAGGAGTTTTCTTTCTGCTGTAGGAGGATGCAAAACCCCTGACCTCTGTCTGGACAGTGCCAATTGGTCCTGTGCTGATCACGTGCACTCTCCCAAGAAAAAAAAAACCTCTCTAGCAATACACAGTAAATTGAGCATGTGCAGAAGAGCTACGGGTTCAGTCTGTCTTATCAGCGTGGACATTTGAACAAGAAGAGGATCAGAGGAATCAGGATCAAATAGCCTTTTTACACAATGCAGAGGATTACCCCTTAGGTTCCTCAATGAGTATATCAAGCATGCTTTACTGCATATATAGACTGATTTTACTGTTGTGGGTTTAGTAACACTTTAACATTGTACTGAGTGGTACATGCATTTAGGGGCTTATGCATTCTGTAATAAAAACCCAGCACGCGAGATGCCCCACGTGCAGGGGACCTAGACACACCCCATGCAATTATCTTTCTTGATGTAATGTATAAAACATGAAACCATGTTTTACTAAAAGTAACCAGCTAATGGTCCTCAGCATTTGAAGAGTTAGCTCACCTTTTCACAAAAAAGGTAAATTACCTGTGGTCCATGTTGTGTGTAACTTATGTTACTCCATCTTCCACTCAGGGGCGTATTTACTAGAAGGCAAACTAGGCATTTGGCTAGGGCGTCATTTTTTCAGAGGGGCAGAAGCACGTTTCAGGGGGGGCAGTGGCTTTTTTTCAGGGGGGCAGCAGTGCCCTCCGAAAGGGATGGAAGAAAGGACACACACAGCATGGTAACCAGGTGGGGTCTGAGCAAGGCTGTAGGCTGCTTGATAGTGTATGCAGAGCCTGACTCTTGTTCCCGGGGATGTCCGGAGCTGTGAAGGTGAGTGTCTTCTCTCTTGCGGGGGGGGGGGGGGGGGGGGGGAGGGCGTTTGTCAATGTGTATGGGGCAGTGGTAGTGGAAGGCTCCCTCGGGTGGGGCTGGGGTGGGGTGTTGTTGGTCAATGCCAGGCTCTTATTGTGGTGGAGGGGGGTGTTTGTCAGAGTCAGGGTCTCTCCATGGCTGGGGGGGGGGGCAATTTTTGTGTTGCCTAGGGCAGCACGAAACCTAAATACACCACTGCTTCTGCTGCCAATAAAATGGTCCGGAGGAGGTGTTACCTTGTCAATAGGGTATTGGCTAGTTTATTTTAAAGTCTGACTAAACTTTCAGTTTAAATCAGCTAAATGTGTTCCACGTTTATCAGAGGTGTTCCAAGTCTTACAGTTTATTTTCTTTAGAAAGCAAACACAGCCTGAGCAGAAAAGCCTGTCCTTTGCCAGCATGCTATAGAGAAAGAGCCTTGCTCTCTGTGTGAAGGCAGCAATTTCTTGGCAGAGGTCTGACATGCCTGCTACAGATTCAGCAGATGGAGTGTCAGGCCTCTACTGAGAGACCACTGCCTCCACATAGACAACATGAGTTCTTCTCCACAGCATGCTGGCAGGGGATAGGCTTTTCTTTTGGGGCTGTAGCTGATTTTTATATTTTAAAACAATTTTTTAAAGGTTTATGCGTAAAAAAAAGATAAACACAATAGCCATATACAGTACAGATTTGCTTGTTATTTTACAAAACACAAAAGAAGCTTAGCAGTTCAATGCATGAAGATGAAACAAAGGTCCGAATTTGTGTGTTGCGGGATGCAGTAAGAATCAATGTTAATTCTAAGTGCAGTTAGTGGTGGGTGTGGAGTTTTGGGCTGAGAGAGACACGGAAATGGACCTACCAATGGGTATTCCTTAACCGTTGTCTATAGAGATCAAATGTAGGGCCGTGAAGATAAATGGAAATCTTAGGGGGTTCCAGGAGAGAGTGCAGCCATTGCCCAAACCAGAGGCATAACTAGAACCTTCAGGGCCCCAGTGCAAGAAACCAGGAAGGACCATCCTGGCCCCCCCGCCAGGGCCCTTCCCACTCACCCTGGGGCATTTTACTCCTGTGGGTCCCTTTATTGTGGTCCTGCAGCGGGCCCCCTTCCTGTTGTTTTGGGGTTTCCCCATGGTGACGGAACACTTGGGCCCATTCGCAAATGTGACTTTTGCGGCCCTGGTAGTTTCACCACTGGTGGTTATTTTTTACAATTGTATTTTTTATTATTTTATAAATCTTTTTAGGACACCCATTGGGGGGCTTTGGTGAAATATCAGGGGTCTAAACAGACGGATGTGGCCCTTCCTTTGTCTTTATCCAGCCCTTAGGGAACTATTCCTTACACTGATACTAAAGTTGGGGTTCTGTTCCCCTCACTGATACCAATAATGGGACAACATTCCTCACACTTACACCAATGTTGGAGCATTATTCTACCACTGAAACCAATCGTGGAGCACTATTCCTCCACTGACACCAAAGATGGAGCACAATTTCTCCCAATGACACCAATGATGGGACACTATTCTTCCCACTGACACCAATGATGGGGCACTATTCCTCCCTCTGGCTCCATTGATGGGGCACTATTCCTCCCATTGACACCATCAATGGGGACCTTCCACCTATCCCTTCCACTGATACCAATGGTAGGGCACTATTTCTCCCACTGATATCAACAATGAGGCACTATTCCTCACATTAAACCCAAATGATTGGGGATTGTTTACCCACTGATACTGGGGCATTTTCTACCCCCACTGGCCACAGTCTGGCCCCCTACAGCCTGAAGGACAGTAAAGTGGCTCTTTGCTAGAAAGTTTGAAGATCCTTGTTTTAGATCATCCTTGGCCATTTGGAAGTAGACATTTAGTGAAGACCAGCCACAGTTGTACTGCACCCATCCCATCTGTGTTTGACATCTTCTCACTTCATCAATTTCAATGCCCAGCTGTCCATTGATGCTTGATAGGTGTGAAGTCAAAAGAAACAACTTTCACTCAGAAAACAGTTTACTGGGTTTCTCTCCTTGTGAAATAACGTGACACTTGTGGCATAGGAAATACCCATCTGTGTAGAGATTGAGCATCTCTAGCACCATTGCCTTTTGTTGAGAACTTTAATTCAGTGCATGTCTATTATGTTAGCGTCAGAGCAGGGTGGGATATCACTGACGTCCACCTTAACCACAGCTGACAACTTGCTAGCCCTATAGTATTTACTACGCACAGTTCTGCTGCATCAATCAGTAACCTGGATGAGTTAGGCTGTCTATACATGGTTAGTTGTTTTTTTTTGTTCAGCCCGATGAACAGATTCCTGAATCCACACAAAGTGCATAAAGGAATCCCCTAGAATAGACATTGGGGGCTATTTACTAAAATTGAAGCATGCAAAATCTGGTGCAACTCTGCACAGAAACCAATCAGTTTTCAGGTTTTATTTCCAAAGCTTAATTTAACAAGGGAAGTTAGAAGCTGATTGGCTACCATAACATATACAGTTGCAAGAAAAAGTATGTGAACCCCTTGGGATTACGTGGAGTTTTGCATGAATTAGGCATAAAATGTGCTCTGAACGTCATCTAAGTCACAACAATAGAAGAACACAGTCTGCTGAACATAATACTACACAAATATGTTGCCATGGTTTAATTGCACATAACATGTAAACATTCACAGTGCAGGGAGGAAAAAGTATGTGAGGCCCTAGCTTAATGACTTCTCCCAGAGCTAATTGGAGCCAGGAGTGAGCCAACCTTGACTCCAATCAGTGTGATGATATTGGATGTGTTGCTGACAGCTGTCCTGCCCTTAAAAAACACACACCTGTTTTGGGTTTACTGGTTTCAAGAAGCACTGTCTGATGTGAACCATGCCTCGCAGAAAAGAGCTCTCAGAAGACCTACCATCAAGAATTGTTGACTTGCATGAAGCTGGAAAGGGTTACAAAAGTATCTCCAAAAGCCTTGATGTTCATGTGTCCACGGCAAGACAGACTGTCTACAAATGGAGAAAGTTAATCACTGTTGCTACTCTCCCTAGGCTTGGTCGTCCTGTAAAAATGACTGCAAGAGCACAGCGCAGAATGCTGCATGAGGTAAAGAAGAATCCCAGAGTGTCAGCTAAACACCTACAGAAATCTCTGGCACATGCTAACATTTTTGTTGACACATCTACAATAAGGAAAACATTAAACAAGAATGGAGTACATGGGAGGACACCACGGAGGAAGCCATTGCTGTCCAAAAAGAATATTGCAGCACGTTTGAAGTTTGCAAAAGAGCACCTGGATGTTCCACAGCACTACTGGCAAAATATACTGTGGACAGATGAAACCAAGATTGAGTTGTTTGGGAAGAACACATAACACTATGTGTGGAGAAAAAAAGGCACAGCACACCAACATCAAAACCTCATCTCCACTGTGAAACATGGCGGAGGGAGCATCATGGTTTGGGGCTGCTTTGCTGCCTCAGGGCCTGGACGGATTGTTGTCATTGATGGGAAAATGAATTCCAGAGTTTATCAAGACATTTTGCAGGAAAACGTACGACCATCTGTCCGCCAACTGAAGCTCCGCAGAGGATGGGTGATGCAACAGGACAATGACCCAAAGCATACAAGTAATTCAACAAAACAATGGCTGCAACAGCACAGAATACGCCTTCTGGAGTGGCCCAGTCAGAGTCCTGACCTCAACCAGATTGAAATGCTGTGGCATGACCTTAAGAGAGCGATTCACACCAGACATCCCAAGAATATTGCTACACTGAAACAGTTTTGTGAAGAGGAGTGGTTCAAAATGACTCCAGATCATTGTGCAGGTCTGATCTGCAACTACAGGAAACGTTTGGTTGAGGTTATTGCTGCCAAAGGAGGGTCAACCAGTTATTAAGTCCAAAGGTTCACATACTTTTTCCTCCCTGCACTGTGAATGTTTACATGTTATGTGCAATTAAACCATGGCAACATGTAATGTTTGTGTAGTATTATGTTCAGCAGACTGTGTTCTTCTATTGTTGTGACTTAGATGACGT